TTTATTTTTATATTTTCAGTTTTTGTTTTAATTTTAATAATTTTGTCATGTGTTTTCATTTTTTTTTAAATATTTATTTTTATACTTAAACTTAAACCTATATTTTTTAGTTAGTTGCCAAAATAAAATTTTCATCTAACATTTATATTTAATTTTATTTCAAGGTTATTTCGATTAACAAAAACTACTTTTAATAGTTTTAACTTTTCAGTAAACAATCCCAGCATTGCTTGAAGGTTGGTACTCCAACCTAACAACCAAGCAACACATAGCCAAGAAACCATTCTAAATCTCTGGTAAGCATTTGGCGTCAAACGCTACTTTTTCTTCAGAAAAGTAAAAGTTTCAGTTCTGTAATGCAACTATCTACTAGTTGATTTATGGAAAAAGGAGAGTTCTTTGTTTATATGAAAACACAATTTATGGTTTTCCCCTCTCAAAGGTCTTGGCTTTTCAACTGCCTCCACTGTTTGTGTTTTTGGCTCGACAGCACTTTTTAAACTCCACTAGTTTATTGATACACCTGCAGACATGTCCAGACATGCTGGAACGTGTTGACCTTTGTGCATCTGTCATTTATTTCCAACTTCCTCTCAAATATACTTGTGTTTCGCATGACTAAAAACAATACAGATAATACAGAGAGTTAGGGGTGGAAACTTTATCATGATTATGAACAAGAACATTTCCGTTATATAAAGTATTTGTCAGTGATATTCTTTGAGAATATCACTGACTCTCACATAGATTATAGAGCCCTCTGACATTGCTAAGACTGGTTTAGTGAGTCAGAGATACAGCACAGAGGTGCGTTTAATGAGCGGCTTGTGTTTGGACGTGACTGCAGCCCTCCTTTTCCTCTTGATTGCAGTGGAAACAGATGGCTCTGCCTGATACCGCCCACTGGCAACCAGAGATCATCACCTTTTCTCTCTCAAATACAAGAGATCAGTGTGCCACACTAAGGCCCTTTGTGATGAAGCTCCACAGCACTGTTGGAAATACAAAAATGACCATAGCAAAACATTTGCCAACAAAAAAAATTATATTTTACTTGATTACCCATGACTGCACTGGACATCAGCCATAATTGTTGATAAGCCAGTCGAAGGCTTTCCATGACTACAAGCAAGTTCGTGGCAGATATCCAGATTGTTCAATGCTCTGTGTGAATGATTGCCTGGCTTGCAGGGGCATTGTTTAGTGTTTCTGCCCATGCAGCCCATTTTGACAATAATTTACAGGGCCGCTCTTTACTTAGAGATGCACTCGCAACAGTGAGTGTGGACCACTTAGTGACAACATTAGTTGAGAAGAGAGAACCTCACTGGAATACAACAATTTTCACATTTTAATTGAGCTCCTAAACGGGTAAGGAAATTTGGGGTAACCCATCATCATGACGATACCAAGACAACATACTAAATAAATATTTTATTGATTTTTGTAGATGGTTTTGGAAGTCATATTAACACTCATGGCTTGTTGAGATTGACTTTACTGCTTTTATGTTTTGGGTCACAGAGATCCCAATCATGCAAGTGGTAAAAATAATCATTTAAAATACAATTTTCCCTTTAAATTTTCACTCTAACCTATTTATCTAACACAAAACTTGGATTAACAATACAATTGAAATTATATATATATATATATATATATATATATATATATATATATATATATATATAAGTTTAATAATAGCTGTCAAACAAGTTTTGTGTTAGATAAATAGGTTAGAGTGAAAATTTAAAGGGAAAATTGTATTTTAAATGATTATTTTTACCACTTGCATGATTGGGATCTCTGTGACCCAAAACATAAAAGCAGTAAAGTCAATCTCAACAAGCCATGAGTGTTAATATGACTTCCAAAACCATCTACAAAAATCAATAAAATATTTATTTAGTATGTTGTCTTGGTATCGTCATGATGATGGGTTACCCCAAATTTCCTTACCCGTTTAGGAGCTCAATTAAAATGTGAAAATTGTTGTATTCCAGTGAGGTTCTCTCTTCTCAACTAATGTTGTCACTAAGTGGTCCACACTCACTGTTGCGAGTGCATCTCTAAGTAAAGAGCGGCCCTGTAAATTATTGTCAAAATGGGCTGCATGGGCAGAAACACTAAACAATGCCCCTGCAAGCCAGGCAATCATTCACACAGAGCATTGAACAATCTGGATATCTGCCACGAACTTGCTTGTAGTCATGGAAAGCCTTCGACTGGCTTATCAACAATTATGGCTGATGTCCAGTGCAGTCATGGGTAATCAAGTAAAATATAATTTTTTTTGTTGGCAAATGTTTTGCTATGGTCATTTTTGTATTTCCAACAGTGCTGTGGAGCTTCATCACAAAGGGCCTTAGTGTGGCACACTGATCTCTTGTATTTGAGAGAGAAAAGGTGATGATCTCTGGTTGCCAGTGGGCGGTATCAGGCAGAGCCATCTGTTTCCACTGCAATCAAGAGGAAAAGGAGGGCTGCAGTCACGTCCAAACACAAGCCGCTCATTAAACGCACCTCTGTGCTGTATCTCTGACTCACTAAACCAGTCTTAGCAATGTCAGAGGGCTCTATAATCTATGTGAGAGTCAGTGATATTCTCAAAGAATATCACTGACAAATACTTTATATAACGGAAATGTTCTTGTTCATAATCATGATAAAGTTTCCACCCCTAACTCTCTGTATTATCTGTATTGTTTTTAGTCATGCGAAACACAAGTATATTTGAGAGGAAGTTGGAAATAAATGACAGATGCACAAAGGTCAACACGTTCCAGCATGTCTGGACATGTCTGCAGGTGTATCAATAAACTAGTGGAGTTTAAAAAGTGCTGTCGAGCCAAAAACACAAACAGTGGAGGCAGTTGAAAAGCCAAGACCTTTGAGAGGGGAAAACCATAAATAGTTTTTTTATATAGACGAAGAACTCTGTTTTCCATAAATCAACTAGTAGATAGTTGCATTACAGAACTGAAACTTTTACTTTTCTGAAGAAAAAGTAGCGTTTGACGCCAAATGCTTACCAGAGATTTAGAATGGTTTCTTGGCTATGTGTTGCTTGGTTGTTAGGTTGGAGTACCAACCTTCAAGCAATGCTGGGATTGTTTACTGAAAAGTTAAAACTATTAAAAGTAGTTTTTGTTAATCGAAATAACCTTGAAATAAAATTAAATATAAATGTTAGATGAAAATTTTATTTTGGCAACTAACTAAAAAATATAGGTTTAAGTTTAAGTATAAAAATAAATATTTAAAAAAAAATGAAAACACATGACAAAATTATTAAAATTAAAACAAAAACTGAAAATATAAAAATAAAAGTTTTCAATTTTTTTCTATAAATACTAAAATAGTAAATTGCATGAATATGCCTCTATGTCTCTTCATATCTCTGTATGGCTTGGGTCTCTCCTTCAATGAAATATGAGATTTCTGACCATTTGATGTATCATTCATATCCAGTAGAAGACATGTTATATTGAGATTTAATACTTAGGCTTAGGGGTTTGTTCATAACCTTAGTAAGTACCTCAGAGACTGATGTAAAGGGTCAACTTGATCTAGTTCAACATGTGATTTTGATGCACAAGGAGTTAGTAGCACACATTGACCCAACAATATGTAATTCAGCACCAAGGTTAACTTTTTTTTATCTGTACTCAGAGGCCTGAGGGCTCTAGTGTTACACAATTTAAATACTACGTACGTCAGGTCTAATGATGTCACCCAACTGAAACATTTAGAGGAGCACAGCATCAGTCTGTACTCAATCTGGAGCTGAGATAACGGAGACGTTTTTCTTGTCAGGACACAAAAGTCAGAACGAACATGAACAAATCATTCTTTCTGAATTGTAAATCGTTTACTGAAATGAACTGGCTTTTTAAGCATTTTTGAAACTTAATAGTCACTGGTGAAAATATCTAATTCAAATAAAATGTCAAAAGTTTTGTTCCACAGAAGAAAGAAAATCATGTACGTTTGAAATGACATGAACAACAGAATTTTCTTTTTTAGATGAACTATCCCAATAAGAAAAGCCACAGTAGAGATCTATTAAAGTAGTGATAATTACTGATAAAGTTACCACCCATCTACAAGTCAAAACATTTTTAATGGTGTCAATTCAATGGTTGCCATTACAAAATATAAGACGGTACAAAACATAAGAAAGCCTTTTAAGGATATTTAATCCATAGTTTAAAAAAAAGATGCATATTCAGACCCGAATTGATATTTTGACCTATTATCATATCAAAGTATTCTGTTTCACTGCATTATTCATCTTGACTAACGCTGATGCATTTTTCATTGACTTTAATCATGGTGTCAGATAAACCTCTTTTCTAAATCACAAATAAAAGTACAATGTTTCATACACAGAACATTGGGTGTGCATATTGTGGCACGCAGATGACACGACAAAGAGGCATAGGGTTTAGTACGTTTCAATCAAAAAGCAATACTTTTATTCAGAATGATGGATTAAATTGATCAAAAAGTGACAATAAAGACCTTTACATTATTAAAAATAAATCTATTTCAAATAAATGCTCTTTTAAACTTTCTATTCATCAAAGAATCCCAAGACAAACGTTTTTTTTTTCTCTATTTTTGACATTGATGTTAATGAGAAATGTTTCTTGAGCACCAAATCAGCATATTAGAATTATTTCTAAAGGATCATATGACACGGAAGACTGGAATAATAATGCTGAAAATTCAGGTTTACCATCACAGGAATAAATACAAATTTAAAATATATAAAACTGTTATTTTAAATTGTAATACTATTTCACAGTATTACAGTTTTTACTGTATTTTTGATCAAACAAATGCAACCCTGGTGAGCATAAGGGACATTCTTCAAAAAAATCTAAGTCTTTGCTAACGTGTTAACCATGGTGAAAGTAAGAAATGAGACGCCGGCTTTTTAACCTAAACATATGACTTTGTCTCATAAATATCCCACAGCTCTCATAACCTGACATTGCAGTTGTTTGATGTTTTGAGTAAGCCTGCATGAGTAAAAAGTAACAGTAAAAAGCTGGGGTGTGTTTCTCACTCTGACTGAGCAATCCGCTGTCACCCACTTGACAGTTTTTCCAGAGGCAGTCTTAGAACCAGTGAATCACATTTGGGAACCACAACAAAATGGAGTCGGACAAGAGTTTCATTTCCTTTTGACAGCTTCCTCCATTTCCTTAGCACAACTTCATAGCACTCTGCCCCCTCCTTGGCCAGGTTCAGCTGGTGGGCTGAGCTGAGAGTTACTGCTGAGTAACACAAACTGTGACACTGTCGGCCAGGTCACAGCGCTTACATGCTCTAGTGTAAATAAACTGAGAGACCCTTGGCTTATACAAACACATGTGAGCTCAACCCATATTTTAGCCTTTAGTTACGTCAAAAGTATTAAAGGGTCCTCATGTTGTTCCAAACTTTTGTGCTTCTGCTTTTGTCCATACAGTGAAAGTCATTGGAGTCCAATGTTATTTTGACTCTACTGAAGAAAGTCATAAAGGTTTGAAACAACATGAGGGTGAATAAATAATGACAGAATGTTCATATATCCCTTTAAATTTACCACTTACTTTTGCAGGCAGTGTCAGGGGGTGGGACATTCTCATACTAGGGAGAATTTGATTGGACCAAATCAGTGTTGTCACGAATCCGGTCCATGAACTTCCGTCGGCCAACCATCAGAGGTCACCCTTCCCATTTTCATTGACTCTCGCACTCACACTGTTGCATATCATCCCGGACTACATATCCCATCATTCACAGCACTGATTGCACACAGCTGGTTCACTAATTGCACACAACACTGATTGCACCCAGCTGTTTCATATCATTAGCCGTTTTCTCGGTTTCTGATCTTCGCCTGGTTTCCTGGATTTATCCCTCAAGTCTTGTCCCTTTTGATTCTGTCTGCCGATCGTCGACCCACGCTAGCCCTAGGACTATTCTTGTGTTTTGCCCGCCATATACCTGTCTGCCTTTATCTGACCCATGCCTGTTTCATGACCACGTCTCTGTCTTCTAAATAAAAGCTTGCATATGGATCCGCACGTCTCACGTCTTGTCAGCCCCGTAACAAGTGTAGTGCAGGATGAGTCATCAAATCTTTGGGTCTGTTTTCCTATATAAAACTGCAAATATCAAATGCATATATCTCATTAAGATTCATTTTGTCAGATTTTCTTCTCAAGTTTTTTTTACTCCAAGACCCCATTTTGTCCAAGATGGTTTTTGAATGTGTACTTCTGTTGTTACAAAAATAAACTCAAAAATATGTTTTCAACTCAAAAGCATTTTGATTAAGATTATGTTACATAAAACTAATTTAAATAACTGTACGACTTTTTTTAGCATATACCTGTCTGCCTTTATCTGACCCATGCCTGTTTCATGACCACGTCTCTGTCTTCTAAATAAAAGCTTGCATATGGATCCGCACGTCTCACGTCTTGTCAGCCCCGTAACAAGTGTAGTGCAGGATGAGTCATCAAATCTTTGGGTCTGTTTTCCTATATAAAACTGCAAATATCAAATGCATATATCTCATTAAGATTCATTTTGTCAGATTTTCTTCTCAAGTTTTTTTTACTCCAAGACCCCATTTTGTCCAAGATGGTTTTTGAATGTGTACTTCTGTTGTTACAAAAATAAACTCAAAAATATGTTTTCAACTCAAAAGCATTTTGATTAAGATTATGTTACATAAAACTAATTTAAATAACTGTACGACTTTTTTTAGCCCCCCCTTTGCTGAGGCCCACTCGTGAACCCCGGCCCAAACCACTGGTATAGATGACTTTAGAGCAAACAGACATGAATTAAATGCCACAAAACTCCATTTGGGATTTTATGGGGTCTTTAAGGAAAACCTCATGGTAATCTACAGAAAGAGGAAGTGGTCAAACCTATTGAAAGAGCGATTGCTGATGTTTAGCGACTGGTTTTAATTAGGAACTTCCTCAGTCCCAGCACATGGCAAAACTCTGAAGACCAAACAA